ATTTGTACATGATTTTGAGTTATAGGATTGATAACTTCTTCTTCGTCATTTTCTTGTTGTTCAACAAATTCTTGTTCATCTTCATTATCTAATATGATCGTATCTATAGCAAAATCTACAGCTTTTGATAATACTAATAAAGTTTCATCTTCAAATACTTTTTGTAATTCAGAAATGATAGGATGCATTAGACTAAGTGTCACATAGATACTATCACTTAAAAAAGTGATGACTTCTTTAAATAATCCAAGTAAATTAATCAAATGTTTCATAAAGATCCATTCATCATCCATAAGATTAATTTTTTTAAGACAACATCCATCTTTTTTTATTGTACTATCTTGATCTCGTGATAAATCAATTGCCAATTGATCAATTGCATCTTTTAAATAAAGTAATTGATCCCATACTAAATATGATGAATTCCAATGAGTGCTTACATCACAAACTACACCTAAAATTTTTGAATAGTTTAAGGAAGTCTGGATTGTTTGAAGTCTTTCTATTTGTTTGGAATATGTAAAAAATCAGTTTAAGCATTTGGCACAAGAAATAAAAACCAAGGCAGATGCTAATCCTTTTCCAATTGCGAGCTGAAGTGTATGTGCTGTACATGGTATTTGCGTAATATTATTTAAATATGATATAACTTTAATCATATTTGATTTATTGTCAGTTACAATAGCAATTAATTTTTCCTGCAAGCTTCATTTTTCAATAATTAATTGAATCTTATCATGAATATATTCAGCAATATGTGGGTATGGTAAATATTCCAACTCGAGCAAAATATCATAAATTTTAAAATCAGAATCTATAAATGATGCAGTAATACCAATATATCCTTGTTTGGCACGAGATGTCCATAAATTAGTGGTGAGTGAAATGTACTTAGTGAAAGATAAAAGAAGTTCTTTCATCGATCCTTCAGTCCAATCATATGCTTGATGAATTAAAAGTTTGAGATTTTTTTCGTTTGGTAATTTGTAGTTCAGATTTAAGTAATTAAGAAAATCTTCAAAAGTAGTATCATTAATAGTATTAATAGGTTTGGTGAAATGAAGAATCCATTTTGTAAGTTTGCGATTTGCCACTAGTTGTCGAGTTTCTGTTCAATGTTGTTAATTTTGCATTTCTAACATATCTTTAATATTTCCACTTTTTATAGACTATTAAAAGCAATGTATTAATAGATTTTTTTATATTAAACTTGAAACTAATAAAAAAACTTTATCTTGATATGAAGTTTTTCTTGTTCAACGATAGCATGAATATTTGCAAGATGTTGGATAGCATTGCTAGTACTACCGAAAGTGGTGTATGTTTTTTGACATGGTTTACTATTCGCAAAATTAAGGGAACAAACCATGATTTTACCAGGTCCACTAGGATTATTTTTTTCGATAAATATTTTCAAATAAAACTTTTTTTTTCAGAACCGCCGGAACGGTAATGTTTTCTTGAGCTTTGAAAGTCATTATAAGTATCAGTAGTAGTGGTTGCATCAGTAGTGGTGGTAGCATCAGTAATGGTAGCAACTGTATTACTATTGCTACTTACGTGACTTTCTTGGTCCCACTGAGTGTCGTCAAAAGTATTGTTCATTATGAGGCATCATGATAGAATAAAAGATCAACCTTATTATTAGTTAAAAATAGTTATAGTGCAGTTATATATATTGATATGTATCTCGTTTCTAAAAAAATATTACATTCTGCTCCTCTTCTTAAATCATATTCTATCAATCAACATGTCTTGTTAAAATTTAATCATTTTTACTTGAAATGCAACTCCGTAATTGAAAATTTGAAGGGATAGGATATGAAAATGGAAAAGA